GGATAATAAGAAGACAACCAACATATGTCCTTAGGGTAGCTAAAGAAGAAGGAGTCAGTCAGAAGGGGGATTAGTTAACAGTGGAAACACTGAAAAAAAGGAGGGTCTCTGAAGCGACATTGTCAGTGTTCATCTGAGCATTGGCTGGGGACAGGGAAGTCTCATCCAAGGTCATATCCTGTCCAGTTCCAGTGGCAGATCCATTTTTACTGTGAGGGTCTTGGAAGCACACTCCTGCTCTTCTCGGCCCCCCACTCCCATTCTTGGTGCTCTGGCTCCAGCTCACCATGCAGCCTTCTGATTATATTTGACTTCCCAAGTTGTTTTCTTACAGGGAATGAGTATCTTAATCAGAGACTGGAATGCTTGGCAATTCTGGTTCATGATGGGAATTAATACATCAGCATTCTGATTTTTAAATTTGCTTTTTTTTTTTTTGGCCGCACTGTGCGGCTTGTGGGATCTTAGTTCCCCAACCAGGGATTGAACCTGGGCCCTCGGCAGTGTAAGCATAGAGTCCTAACCACTGGACCGCCAGGGAATTCCTCAGCATTCTGATTTTTTCATTAATTGCTGACTCACTGTGTCAGCAAAAGCTCTTTTCTGAGCCTGTGTGGCTGAGGACCAGATCCCGAAGTCCTGGTGTTTCCAGAACATCTGACAACTTGTGAGTCTATTAGCAACAAGCCAATGGGTTTTCCTTGAAGATCCCCACATTGCATGTGTCCAACCCATTGTCTACTTCTTGCGTACTGGTTTGAGGTTTCCTAGAGTTCAGGGTCTTATGCAGGAATCCCACTGTATCATTCCTGATGCTGGAATGATGCAAAGGCTGGGTTAGAGCAGATGCAAAGTTCTTTTTCATCTTCAGGATCTCTTGCTGTGAGCCTCATGACCCGCCTAGCTGCCCTTTTGATCCTACAGTTGAAGAGTCTATGCAGTACAAACTTGAATCTTACATGAACAGACAGTTCACACAAGAGGATATTCAAATGTTCATATGAAAATATACTCATGCTCATTAGTCATAAGGGATATGTAAATTAAAATCAAAATGAGATATTACTACATACCCATCCGAATGGCTAAGATTAAAAAGACTTGGGAATTCCATGGCAGTTCAGTGGTAGGACTCTGCAGTCTCATTGTTGAGGATCTGGGTTCAATCGCTGGTCGGGGAACTAAGATCCCACGAGCCACACGGTGTGGCCAAAAATAAAAATTTTTTTTAATTTAATTAAATTTAATTATTTATTTATTTTTGGCTGCATTGGGTCTTTGTTGCTGCGCGCGGGCTTTCTCTAGTTGCAGCAAGCGGGGGCTACTATTTGTTGTGGTGCGTGGGCTTCTCATTGCAGTGTCTTCTCTTGTTGCAGAGCACAGGCTATAGGCATGCAGACTTCAGTAGTTGTGGTTCGTGGCCTCTAGAGCGCAGGCTCAGTAGTCGTGGCACAAGGGCTTAGTTGCTCCGCGGCATGTGGGATCTTCCCGGACCAGGGCTCGAACCCCTGTCCCCTGCCTTGGCAGGTGGATTCTTAACCACTGCGCCACCAGGGAAGTTCCAAAAAATATTTTTAAAGCCTTGACAATACCCAGTGTTGGCAAGGATGTGGAGAAAGTGGGACTCAACATTTCTGCTGGGAGTGTAAAGTGGTACAGCTATCTGGGAAGTCTGTTTGGCAATATATATTAAGCTGAACATACATTTATCCTATATCCTGGCAATTCTACTCTTAACTATGTATGGAACAGAAATGCATACATATGCTCACCAAAAGACATATGTAAGAATAGTCATTGCAGCATTATTCCTAATAGTTCTAACTGGAAAATAATCCAAAAGTACATCAACAGTAGAATTAATAAATACATTGTGTTATATCCAAACCACGTTATACTATAAAGCAATGAAAATGAAGGAACTACTACTGCTATTCACAGCAAACTGGAAGAATCTCATTAATATGCTGTTAAATGGAAGAAGCCAGACACGAAAGACTATATATGGGATGATTCCATTTAGAAGAAGTTCAAGACCAGGCAGAAGCTAATCTATGGTTAGATGTCAAGGTAATGGTTACCTCTGGAGGAGGAGGTGGGTAATGACTGGGAAGGAGCCTGTGAGCTGCTTCTGAGTGCTGCTAAATTCTCATTTTTGTTTTGGGTAGTGATTATATAGATGTGCACACTCTGTAAAAAATTCATCTGGTTATACAAATGATAATTTTTACACTTTTCTTGGCTGGGCTGAGTGACATGTCTATAGGTCGTCTGATAGACAGCTAACCTAGGCTGGCCTCTTCTAGAGCAGTTTAGGAGACTCAGCTCTGCAACATGTCCTCCAGCAGGGTAGCCCAGGCCTGTTCTCCTGGTGATGGCAGTGGTGCAAAAGGACAGCTCCCAATGTTCAAGTCCATTTCAAGCCTCTGCTTTCATCATACTTGCTAACATTCCATTAGCCAAAGCAAGTCATGTGGTGAAAGCTAGAGTCAAGGGGAAGGCAGGTTACTCCGCTCACGGGCGCTGCAGTTATGTGGTAAAGGGCATGGATCTAGGGAGGATGACGAATTGGGCCATCAACACAATCTACAACTTGTGGGAGAAAGAAAAATGAAGTTAATGACAATATAGTGAAACATATATGATAATTGAGAGAAGTACAGGGTGATTTAAGGGCCCAGAAAGGGGCACATTTTATATTTTATCTGATATTAAAATTATTCACGGAAAAATTTATGCATGGACATTTCCCCTTCTAGACCATGAACTTCTCGTATATGCTTCATTTTCACACCTTCCACAGCTCCTGGCATAAAGCAGGCACTTGAACATTTGTGAAATAAATGTTCAGCCATAAAGGTAGTAATTTCTTCTTCGCCCATTTTTATTTCAGGCTCTAGGAGAAGAAAGAGACCCACATATGCAGCAAGACATATTTTTATATTTTACAACCATTTTAGTGAACTCATAATCTCCATTACAGAATAGGCTCCACTCAAGCGAAGGGTTGGAGGAGTTCCAGCAGAGAGATGGGTGGAATCATTCAAATTTTGATGTGTCCCTTTTTCTGGTGGTGGTTGGGTGTCTTCTATGTATTTTTTAATATTGCAGTTAAATATACATAACATGAAATTTACCATCTTAACCATTTAAGTGGACAGTTCAGTGGCGTTAAGTACACTCCCATTATTGTGCAACCGCCATCCATCTCAAGGGCTATTTTATCCTCCCAAACTGAAATTCTGTATCCATTAAACAACAACTCCCCATTCTCCCTGCTCCCCAGTCCCTGGCAACCACCATTGTACATTCTGTCTCTATGAACTGGACTACTCTAGGTGCCTCATAGAAGTGGAATCATACAGTCTTTTTGTGACTGGCTAATTTCACTTAGCATAATGTCTTCAATGTTCATCCATGTTGTAGCATGTGGCAGAATTTTCTTCCTTTTTAAGGTTGAATGATACTCCATTGTATGTATATACCACATTTTGTTTACCCATTCATCTATTGATGGACACTAGGGCTGCTTCTACCTTTTGGCTATTGAGAAGTAATGTGCAAAGCAAATGCCACCCAAGTATGGAATTCTGGGGTGGAAAGTACCTCAACACTCAATCTGAAAGTGAGATGAGGGACTTCCCTGGTGGCGCAGTGGTTAAGAATCCACCTGCCAATGCTGGGGACTCAGGTTCAACCTCTGGTCCGGGAAGATCCCACATGCTGCAGAGCAACTAAGCCCGTGCGCCACAACCACTGAGCCTGCGCTCTAGAGCCCACAAGCCACAACTATTGAAGCCCGTGTGCCACAACTACTGAGCCTGCGAGCCACAACTACTGAGCCCATGCACTGCAACTACTGAAGCCCTTGCACCCTAGAGCCTGCACTGCAACTACCGAGACTGAGAGCTGCAACTACTGAAGCCCAGGTGCCTTGAGCCTGTGCTCCGCAACAAGAGAAGCCCACGCCCTGCAACGCAGAGTAGTCCCCACCCGGGCACAGCAACAAAGACCCAACGCAGCCAAAAAAAAAAAGAGAGTGAGATAAATCATAGCTACATTAGGACCATATAGCTAAGACTCATGGCCTGATTAACTTTCACCAGAGTTTTCTGATAATGATACCAGGAAGAAGATAAGGATTACTTTTCTGAGGGGACTTCCCTGGTGGTCCAGTGGTTAAGAATCTACCTTCCAATGCAGCGGACGCAGGTTCCATTCCCGGTTGGGGAACTAAGATCCCACAGGCCGCGGGGCAACAAAGCTCGCGTGCCAGCACAGCCAAAATTTAAAAAAAAAAAAATTACTTTTCTGAGGGTGATAAATCTGGCTGAGAATTTAGGTATAGGATGAGACATTAAGCCAAGCTTCATTATTAACCCCATCAACAATATCCAGAGTGTGGCAGACACCATGATTTCAAACTAGTCTCAGGGGTGGAATGTCATAGGTGGACTGACATAGGCCATTTCTAAGGTTGGCTGCCTCTGCCTGGACACCATGCCCCCTCAACCAAACACCCCTTCCCTGCCTGGCTAACCTCTAACTAATTCTTTGACAGTCAGTCCAAACACCCCTTCCTCAGAAAAGGTTTCCCTGACCTAGGCCCTCACCTCAAGCCTGGGCTGGGCTTCTCGCCCTGTTGCTCCCTCACTGCAGCAACTGCCTGGCACCCCTCCATGGCAGGGATGAGCACTGGCTCGTCTCTACCCCAGGAGCTGGACCCAGGCCCGGTATATACGTGCTCAAGGCTCAGTCACCGCTCACAGAATGGATGAGTTGTCTCTTCAATTAAACTGCCACAAGGATTCAAGCCAGGTGGTCAGCGGCGCCAGGCCGTGGTCACTGGGTGCAGGAGTGGAAGCCACAGGGACAACTGCCCGTGCTGGGAGCATCCTCTCCGGTCACACTGCCACGCCCCAGCTGTTCCTGGAGCAAAGCAGGCCAAGTGGGAAGGGCCTCCAGAGAGCAGAAGAAAGCTCAGTGTCCAAAGTAACTAAGAAGCCATGTGAACATCAGGAGTGGGGAAGACTGACCTGAAGGCTGGGCTGCCCAGAGGCCTGCAGCGCATGCTGTAGAGCTTGGCTGAAGAGATCATTGGTGATGGGCGTCCCTGACTGGACGCCGGATGACACCGGGGAGGTCCCTGACGAATGACCCTAGAGACAAACCAGGGTCAGCGCCATGCTCAGAGACACCTCAGTCTCCCAGCACATACCCACTGCTGTCACATCACCCAGGGTGCCCCTGGGTGCCCCACGACTGCCTCCCGGCAGGGGCCTGCATGAGACAACCACACAGAGGTACCCAAAAGCTCTCTATGTGGGCGGGAAAGGTTCTGTTCCCTTTTGCTCCAGGGAGATGGAATGGAGCCCCCGACCTAGCCTAGGACCCAGCACTGGGAGAGATGGCCTTGCAAGCTGGAGTGACCGTCACCAGGAATGCTTAAGCCTGTGATGTCTGGCCACTTTCAGGGACAAGTAAGGGTGTCTTATGTGACAGAAGGTTCTTCCAAAGTGCTGGCAGGAGTTAATCAGGCCCGTGATGAACCCCAGACTTCTAAGCCCTAAAGGCTGGTGACGGGAGGTCGCCTGAGCTGCAGCGGGAAACCCACCAGGGCTCCAGGTAGAGTTCGGCTCAAAGCAGATCCAGCACCAGGATCAGCAAAGGTAAATCCGTTCTACCACTGGGACCTTCTGCCTTAGGGGCCTGGCCTTGATCTTCCCGCCCTCTCTCCATACCTGGGTGCCAGGAGTTGGCGTGTGAGAGCTGCTCTCCGGAGTGCTGGCCAGGGCCAGGGCCGTGGCCAGCTCGCTCTGGGTGATAGGCCGGGGCCCGGCAGCTCCACTGTACCCCAGGGAAGCTGGGCGGGAGCTGGGTGTGCTGCTCGAGGGCGTGGACCTGGCGCTCTGAACAAGAGAGGCACCAAGAATCAGGGAAGCAGCCCTGTGACGTTCTCAGATGAAGCCCACCCCTGCTCCAGGAACAGTTCTTGGGGAACCTCCCCAAGCTGCCAGGTTCAGACAGCAATAGTATGACATAGCTGGGTCACCAAAGGGTCTCCGATCACCTCCCAGCTGGGGCGTGCCAGGTCCCAGGGAGGGGTGCATCCCCAGCGCCATCTCCCCCAAATGGCAGGCAGCCAGGCCACTTACCGGGTGAAAGTCATCCTCATCATCAGAGAGCCCTTCAAACAGGAAGCCACCTGGAGGAGGGAGAACAGATTTCAGGAGGAAGAACAGAGGCACAGGCGCAGCTCCAGAATCTCAGCTCTAGTTACTCTCCAAATTCATATTTTCATCTCTCCCCTTGGAAAATTACAGGACAGATGCACTCCTTGACTCAAATTGAGAGTTCCCAAGGAACGCCCTCTGCCAGCACTATACATAGCTGCTGAGTAAAGCAAACCCCTGGACCACTGCCCGCTCCCGAGGGGGCCTGCGTTCCACTGTCCTGGGGCTCACCTGGCATATCCCGGTACGAGCTGGAGGGCATGCCCCGGGAAGAGGAGTCACCCCTGTTCTGTGACTACTGGCTGCCGGCATACTTTGAGCCTTACAGCTCTCTCTGGCGTGGCAGCTTGCACACTCACACACTCACCCAGACCCACACGCTCCCGTCCCTGTAGGGACAGCCCGGGGCCCGCAGAGCCATTTGCACGCACTTCCTGCGGCGCCGCACACTCCTCACTCACCCAGGCAGCATCTAATCTTGCGCCCCGCCACTTGCGCCATGCTTCCTACCTTTCCAGATAGCAGAGTATAAAATATATTTATAATTTGGTACACAAAATATCAATTTGCAGAGACGTGGATGGACCTAGAGACTGTCATACAGAGTGAAGTAAGCCAGAAAGAGAAAAACAAATATCGTATATTAACACGTATATGTGGAATCTAGAAATATGGTACAGATGAAACTTTTTGTAAGGCAGTAATAGAGACGTAGACGTAGAGAATGGACATGTGGACACAGTGGGGGAAGGGGAGGGTGGGACGAATTGGGAGATTAGGTTTGACATAAATATACTACCATGTGTAAAATAGCTAGTGGGAATCCCCTATTTTCTTGAGAACTAGGATTCTCAGTGTGGAAAAGGAAAGAAACATGTAATATACAAAAGGTTACATATTTGCGGTACGCGGGCCCCTCACCGCTGCGGCCCCTTCCACCGCGGAGCACGGGCTCCGGACGCGCAGACCCGGCGGCCATGGCTCACGGGCCCAGCCACTCCGCGGCACGCGGGATCCCCCCAGATCGGGGCACGAACCCGCGCCCCCCGCATCGGCAGGTGGCCTCCCAACCACTGCGCCACCAGGGAAGCCCTCTATTTCTATCTTTATAAGCATAGATCTATATATAGATATAGATATAGCTCTCTCCCTAGCTCTCTCCACTGAAGCAGCTTAGAAATAATGACCAATCCAGTAGAAATAAGCATCCCTTGTGCCCAGATTGTGGTCTTGAAATTCAATTTCCCACTAAAACCCATCTGAGCTTTTAAATTTTTTTATTTTTTTTTATTCCCCCCACCCCCCGTCCCCTTTAGAGCTGATCAGGCTCTAATCCACGTGTAGAGATGTATGCTCAGGCTATGAAGCTCAATACTTCGCGAACTGCCCTGAATGTTCAATTTGGCCCTGGGTTAACCTCAGCCTGTTGGATCCCTAGAATCTCTGGTTCACTGAGGGGTGAAGGTTTGTTCACATGTGAACCTGGAAATGCAATTCAGTTCGGACCTCTTAGTGTACTGTACCCTTTAAAAAAATTTTTTTTAAATTGGGGTATAAAAAAAATTGGTGTATAGTTGCTTCATTTATTTTTTATAAATTTATTTATTTTATTTATTTATTTTTGGCTGCGTTGGGTCTTCGTTGCTGCGCAGGCTTTCTCTAGTTGCGGTGAGCAGGGGCTACTCTTCCTTGGAGTGCGTGGCCTTCTCACTGCGGTGGCTTCTATTGTTGTGGAGCACGGGCTCTAGGCGCGCGGGCTTCAATAGTTGTGGCTCATGGGCTCTAGAGCACAGGCTCAGTAGTTGTGGTACATGGGCTTAGTTGCTCTGCGGCATGTGGGATCTTCCCGGACCAGGGCTCGAACCCGTGTCCCCAGCGTTGGCAGGGGATTCTTAACCACGTGGCACCAGGGAAGCCCTATAGTTGCTTTATTTATTTATTTATTTTTATAAAGATTTAATTTTATTCATTTTTGGCTGTGTTGGGTTTTCGTTGCTGTGTGAAGTCTTTCTCTAGTTGTGGCGAGTGGAGGCTACTCTTCCTTGCGGTGCACAGGCTTCTCCTCGTGGTGGCTTCTCTTGTTGTGGAGGATGGGCTCTAGGTGCGCGGGCTTCAGTAGTTGTGGCACGCAGGCTCAGTAGCTGTGGCTCGTGGGCTCAGTAGTTGTGGCTCGTGGGCTTAGTTGCTCCACGGCATATGGGATCTTCCTGGACCAGGGATCGAACCTGTGTCCCCTGCATTGGCAGGCGGATTCTTATCCATTTCGCCACTGGGGAAGTCCCTATCTGAGCTTTTTGAAGAAATGGCTCATTGTTGTGTTTGGGGCAGGAAATGTAAAGATGAGCCTGGAACCCTTGTCATGCCAGATAGTAAGGCAATGATTAGAAAATTTTAGGTTAAGTGTTAAAATGACTCAGCCACAAGTTGAAGAGGCTCCACTGTTATGGTTACCATGGATTTCAATATAAGCAAATGCAGGTAAATATATTGTGGAAAATGGGAGCCATTTTGGAGAAGAAAGGTAAAATTATAGAGGAGGGGAAGACTAGAAAAGACTATGTAGGGTTGAATTGGAATTTGAAGTATTGGTATTAGAACATATATAATAAACTATACTCCAACCAAAATTAATGAAAAAAAGAACATATACATATTATTTCATATATGTAACATATATATGAAACAGAAATATAGATGAATGGGTTTGTGTGCGTAAATATGTATTTCATAGGTCTATCCACTGAGAGGAACTGGAAATAATGACATCTCAGGGACAATAAATACACCCAGACTTGGATTCTAAGTACTATTCACCACTAAAAGAAACCAAAACTGTTTGGATTAATGACTGATATGACAAACTTTGTGAAAATCTCGCAAATAATTTATGAAAACAGCAGTGAGGTGATCAGTCTCCACCTACCTGGGACAGTTGATGACATTTAAATTACATCTGTGGATTAGATGGTAGAACTGTATTAATTTCTTGATTCTAATGGGTTGTACTGTGGTAGGTAGGAGAGTGTGTCCTTGTTTTCAGGAAATAGCCACTGAAATATTTAAGGGTAATGGGGCATCATATCTACAACTTGCTTTCAAACAGCTTGGGGATGGGGGTGGGAGAATAATATATGCAGAGAGAGGGTGAGAAAAAATGATAAGGTAAATGTTATAAAATGTTAACAGTTGGGGACTTTGGGTGGTTAAGAGGGAATTATTTCATACTATTTTTGCAACTTTATTGTAAACTTGAAACTACTTTAAAATAAAAGTATTTTAAAATATCACATTCTCAAAGACAACTTGAGCACATGGGGAAATATTCAAGTTAAGTGAATTATGCAGTTTACTAACATATGCAGTATAATCTAAATTTTGTTGAATACAAAATTTATTTAATTCAATAAAATTATATTTTTAGAAACATTAAAAAAGTTAACAATTGTCCTCTATTAGTGATAGAGCCATGTTAAAGCAAAATAAATTTGGAGGGCTTATGCTACCAGATGCCAAGACCTACTCTAAAGCTACAGAAATCAAGTTGCACAGTTAGTAGCATAAGGATATAAAAATACATTAGTGGGACAGAATAGAGTCAGAAATGGACGAATAGATAACAGTCACCTTATTTATGACAAAGCTGCCAGTAAAATTCAGTGGGGATGGGATTAAAAAAAAAGTAGTTCTCATCAATTGATACCCTATGGAAAATAAGAATCTTGATTCCTTTCTCACTTTATACATAAAAATTAATATGAGATTAATCATAGACCTAAATGTGAAAGATAAAATTTACAGAAGAAAGCATAGGAAAATATCTTCATAATTAGGGCAGAGATTTTTTTCTTTTTCTTTTTGCGATACGTGGGCCTCTCACTGTTGTGGCCTCTCCCGTTGCGGAGCAACAGGCTCCAGGCGCGCACGCTCAGCGGCCATGGCTCACGGGCCCAGCCGCTCCGTGGCATGTGGGATCTTCCCGGACCGGGGCACGAACCCGTGTCCCCTGCATCGGCAGGCAGACTCTCAACCACTGCGCCACCAGGGAAGCCCTAGGGCAGAGATTTTAAAAATAGGACACAAAAAGCTCTACCCATCAAAATAAAATTTCATAAATTAGACTTTCAAGAAATTTTTTAAAAATCCCATTAAGAGAATAAAAATACAAGCCACGAACTGAGAGAAGATATTCACAATATACATTTTTGACAAGGACCTACATCTGTTAAGTTCTTAATTTTAGTGACAGTACTTCTTATTTCTAAAAGTTCTTTTTGGTTCTTCTCAAATCTGCCTGTTCTTTTTTTTATCATGTGTTATTCTTTCTTAAAGTCCTGATAGCTTCTTCAGTGACTTTAATAAATTTTTTCATTCTTATTTTACATCTTTTTTAATTGACTCCCTAATATCTAACATTTTTGGTGTTGTGACTTGTTTGTTCTGCTCTCTCTTCCATGAATATTTGTTAATTCTTTTTGTGAAATCTTCAGTTTAGCTTTCTTCTTTCCTGTTGGATGGCATGAGTTTTGGTAGTGTTGCTCCAAAAAGGATTTATATTTGCTTTACCAAGAACCCCAGGACCAATTCCTTTTAAGCATACTTTTTTAAAAGATAAATTTATTTTATTTATTTATTTAGGCTGCATTGGGTCTTCGTTGCTGCGCACAGGCTTTCTCTAGTTGCAGCAAGCGGGGGCTACTCTTCGTTGCAAGTGTGCAGGCTTCTCACTGCGGTGGCTTCTCTTTGTTGTGGAGCATGGGCTCTAGGCATGTGGGCTTCAGTAGTTGCAGTTGTGGGCTCAGTAGTTGTGGCTCACGGGCTGTAGAGCACAGGCTCAGTAGTTGTGGCACATGGGCTTAGTTGCTCCACATGATGTGGGATCTTCCCAGACCAGGGCTTGAACCTAAGTCCCCTGCTTTGGTAGGTGGATTCTTAACCACTGCGCCACCAGGGAAGTCCCAAGCATACATTTTATTGTATGTAAATTATTTCTAAATAAAGTTGACTTAACAAAACTTGAGAAAATACCTAAGATAACATTTTGAGGGACATCCCTGGCAGTCTAGTGCTTAAGACTCCACGCTTTCACTGTAGGGGGCACGGGTTTGATCCCTGTTTGGTGAAGTAAGATTCTATATGCCACATACCATGGCCAAAACAAAATAAAGATAACACTTTCAGCATGCTAACTTATTTTATTTTCATGTCTTTAGTTTTTATATTTTTTATTCATACAGATCTGGTTTTTGTTGCTTTCTGTAAAAGAATGAACTGGATTAAAAATTTTAAATTGTAGACCTCAAG